TTCGTCCTCAAACCTGCCTATCAACAATGGCAACTATCTCCTCCTCATAACCCAGACTATCATCTAACCGAATCGTGCTAAAGTCTAACACATGTGACAAGTCGGCATGACACCTCCGGAGCATAGACACATGAAAAATCGGATGAACTCCCGATAGACTGGAGGCAAAGCAAGCTCATAAGAAACCTCTCCAACTCGTCTCAACACCTCAAATGGGCCTATAAAACTTGGGCTCAACTTGCCCTTCTTCTTGAATCTTATAACCCCCTTCATTGGCGAGACTTTTAAGAGAACCTTTCCGCCCACCATAAATCATACATCACGCGCCTTCCGATCCGCATAACTCTTCTGTCTAGACTGTGCTATGCGGAGTCACTCCTGAATCAACTTTAGCTTTTCCAAGGCATCTTTCACCAAATCAGTACCATGTCATCGCCGACCATATAAAGCCTCAAATGGAGCCATCTCGATACTTGTCTGATAACTGTTGTTGTAAGCAAACTCGACCAAGGGCAAGAATCGATCCCATTGTCCCCCAAAGTCAGTCACACATGCTCTGAGCATGTCCTCTAAGATCTGCACTGTCTGCTCCAACTGCCCGTCAATTTGTGGGTGAAATGGTGTGATGAGATCTACACGGGTCCCCAACTCACTCTGTATTGCTCTCCACAAATGCGAAGTAAACTGAGGGCATCTATCTGATATGATGGAAACAGGCACACCATGCAACCGAACTATCTCCTGAATATAAATCTAGGCCAACCTCTCTGAAGTATACGTAGTCACAACTGGGATAAAGTGTGCCGACTTGGTCAACTTGTCAACATTAACCCAATCTGTATCAAATTTTCGCAAGGTCTGCGGCAACCCAACTACGAAGTCCATAGTAATGTGCTCCCATTTCCACTCCGGTATAGTCATCTACTGAAGTAGGCTACCTGGCCTCTGTGCTCATACTTAACATGCTGGCAATTTAGCCACCTAGCTACATACTCAACTATGTCTTTCTTCATCCGATGCCACCAATAATGCTGTCTCGGGTCGCGATACATCTTCATGGCACATGGATGAATGGAATACGGAGAACTGTGTGCCTCCTCTAGAATCCTCTCCCTCAAGCCATCGATATTAGGAAAACATAGACGACCCTGGAGTCACGAAACACCATCCTTGCCGATAGAAACCTCCTTGGTACCACCCTGTAGTATCGTCTCTCTGAGAACCATCAAATGCGGATCATCAAACTGTCGAGCCTTGATCTGTTCCAATAGTGAAGATTGGGCAAGAACGCATGCAAGAACGCGACTGGGTTCTGAAATGTCCAACCTCACAAGTCAGTTAGCCAAGGACTGAATGTCCAAAGCTAGTGGCCTCTCCTCCGCTGAAATGAATGCCAAGCTACCCATACTCTCTGCCTTTCTGCTCAAGGTATCCGCAACTACATTCGCCTTGCCCAGATGATACAAAATGGTAATATTATAATCCTTTAATAACTCAAGCCATTGCGCTGCCTCAAATTGAGATCCTTTTGCTTGAACAAATGTTGTAAGCTGCGATGATTAGTGTAAACCTTACATGACACCCTATAAAGATAATGCCTCCAGATCCTAAGAGCATGAACAATCACAGCTAACTCTAGATCGTACACAGGGTAATTCTTCTCATGGATCTGCAATTGATGGGAAGCATATGCAATAACTTGCCCCTCCTGCATCAATAAACAACCCAAGCCAATGCGTGAAGCATCACAATACACTGTATACATCCCCGAACCGGAAGGTAACACTAGAACCGATGCTATAGTCAAAGCTGTCTTGAGCTTCTGAAAGCTCGTCTCACAATCATCGGACCAACAGAATGGAGCACCCTTCTGGGTCAGTCTAGTCAAAGGTGCTGCAATAGATGAGAAGCCCTCCATAAATCGACAATAATAACCTATTAACCCCAAGAAGCTCCTGATCTCAGTCGCCAAAGTGGGATGAGGCCAACTCTGAACTACCTCAATCTTCTTGGGATCCACCTTAATACCCTTGCCATATACAACATGCCCCAAGAATGCTACGGAATCTAACCAAAACTCACACTTGGAGAATTTTTGTTCCCACAATGTCTGAAGCACCACTCTCAAATGTTGTTCATGCTCCTCCAAGCTACGTGAGTAGATCAAAATGTCATCAATGAAGACAATGATAAATGAATGAATGTACGGACTGAACACCCTGTTCATCAAATCCATAAACGCCGTGTGGGCGTTAGTTAGGCTGAAGGACATCACTAGAAACTAATAAAGGCCATATCTAGTGCGGCAAGCAGTCTTCGGAACATCCGAGTCCCGAATCTTCAACTGATGGTAACCTGATCTCATATCGATCTTTGAGAACACTCTAGCACCCTGCAACTGGTCAAACAAATCATCAATATGATGCAACAGGTACTTGTTCACAAGTAACACTGGTGCACCCCAAGGTGATACACTTGGTATGACGAACCCCTTTTCTAGCAACTCCTCAAGCTGCTCCTTCAACTCCTTCAATTCTTTCGGAGCTAGCCTGGAGCCAAATCAATGCAGAAATCAATATTACGATCTGGTGGCATGCCTGGAAGATCAGAAGGAAATACATCAGAGAAATTCCGGACTACTGGTACTAAATCAATCGCCGGAGACTCTACGGTAGTATCCTGAACATAGGCTAGTTAAGCCAAACAACCCTTTTCAACCAGGTGTCGAGCCTTCATAAAAGAGATAACCTGACTAGATATATTCACGGGCGAACCCTTCCACTCCTAGGTGATTCTGGCATCGCTAAGGTAACAGTCTTGGTATGGCAATCAAGGATGCGTGATATAGAGATAACCAGTCCATGCTCAGGATGACCTCAAAGTCAGTTATCAAGCAACAGAAGATCTGCTCTAGTATCGTATCCACAGAATGTGACCACACATGGCCGATAGATCCGATCCACAATAATAGAATCACCCACAGGAGTGGAAACATATATAGGAGTCCTCAAGGACTCGCGAAAAATATATGGGAAATGAGAAAACAGAGATGACACATAAGAATAGGTAGACCCTAAATCAAATAATATCGAAGCATCTCTACCACAGACAGAAATAATATATGTGATCATGGCATGTGAGGCCACTGCATCTGGTCTGGCAGAAAAAACGTAGAACCTAATTGGAGCGTCGGCTGGTTGGACTCCACCTGATTGAGCGGTAGCTGGCTGACCTTCCTGGCCTCCATGTCTAGGACATCCCCTACCCATCTGCCCACCGCTTCTAGGCGGCCGAACAACTGGTGTTGTAATCATGGGCTGAGGATCTTGTTGTACTGCCTTGCCCCGAAGACTGGGATAGAACCTCCACGCATGAATGGGATCCCCGCACTCAAAACAACCTCTCGGTGCGGTGATCTGCTATCCTGAAGCTGGCCTTGATGGCCCGAAAACCCACTGGAAGAACCCTGAATGGCTGGCAGGCGATAAGTGTCACACCTTCTTTTTACCACCCGAGAGGGTACATAAGGAAGTTTTTTCAATTAAAGTGACATTATTCGAAATGGGATTATTTATTTATCGGAGTCACCACTTGGAATAATTAATGGTGTTCCAAGTCACCGGTTTATTTTAAAATCCCAAATCTAGGAAATTCGACTTTTATTTTAAAGTTTGCGAACCAGAAATTCTAGATAAGGAATTCTGTTAACCCGGGAGAAGTGTTAGGCATTCCCGAGTTCCGTGGTTCTAGCACGGTCGCTTAAACTATTAAAATTGACTTATTATCTGATTTATTACATGTTTTAACCTATTGTGCATTTTACCCTATAACCGCTTTTAATAAATATTGTTACATATTGTAAATCACGTCACGGAAACCGTACCCACGATCTACAACATGTTTAATTTTAAAGATTAAATTGTAGCTGGGTCACATAAATGTACCCCCCGAATTTTAGTAATTAGGGGTCACAAGTACGTCACGGGAACCGTACCCATAGCTATGACAATTAATTAATTAACGCGCCTAAAGCAACTACGAAAGTTCAAGACAATTTCTAAACTAATTTTATATTTATAGGAGGGCCATAAATTAAAAGATTTTATTTGTATATAGCACACCCCAATTTATTTGATCTAAATTTGTGAGGGCCAAGTGTTGTAGATTTAAAGCATGACACACCTCAAGTTATTCTTTAAAAAAAAGATTGTATATATTTTAAAGGTAAACTAGAGGTATTTCTATTTTAAAACTAATTATCACAACCACGCCGCGGGAACCGTACCAGGGGTTGTAATAATTTTAATTGCATGCCTAGAAGCAAACCAGGGTGTTCATGAATTATTAATTTTTAAACTAGTTTGAGATTCGATTACAAAATGAAAGAAAACGTACTAAATTTTCAAGACGGTGATAACAGTAGAAATGAACCAAATCACTTAGAGAACAAAGCTTTAAAAATCGCATAGCCCAAAGCTTAAACACTTATTAAACGGCCCATTAGGACAACTCAAAGAATACCATTGAGATATAGGAATTTAACCAAAAGTTATGATAACCAAGAGAATAAATAACTACAGGTGTTGAATGAATCGGCTTCCAAGATTTACTACAAGGCAACAACTAAGAATAAGAAGCCGGCATCACGTTCCATGGATTATTAAGCAGTTCTTCACATTTTTCTTGCAAGCATATATGCTACTATATTAAAGAACTCCATAAAATTAAGCTAACAAAGAGACAAATCTACAGGAGCACTTTACTAATCCATTATTTGTACAGCTTAGGTGCTACTAATTGGATTTGCATTTGATAGTTAGTAAAAAAGGGATATTTTCAGCATTTAGATGGGTACAAAGCTGAAGTATTTTTAAATCATGTTCAGAAACCGGCACATTGCTATTGCTGTGGGATTATATCATACCAGATGTAATTTCAAGATGCTGATATCAGATAATTAACTCAAAAGTGTAAACAGAAGAAAATGATTTTTGCTAAGATTAAGAGAAAAAGTTGCAATCTCCATATCAAATGCATAAGCGTGTTCTTCCTTATTACAGAAAAGAAAACTTTGTGTACACCTTAGTTGTGAACCTCATTTTAGCTAACATTCTGGTGCCACTTTCATTAAGGCAAACTTGAAATTGAACGCTACTAATCTTGGCACAAAAAGAAACAAAAAGAGTACAAATACAGACATTCCAATTCTATTACAGGGAGACAATTGACTTGTATCATTTTACTCAAATTTACAAATTGAAACAGTCGCATTCACAAATTGCTCATTTTCAATATAAAATTTGATAATCAGGAACTGCCGAAAATTTGTGCATTAGGTCCACAGGACTTTCACATAATTCATAAGTCATTTTCCATTCATAAGAGGAGGAGTTCTTGCCACAAGAAAAGAAGACAAGATCAGATGATATGAGACAGTAGGCGATCAGCTGAACCAAATCATAGCATTCATACACACATAACACAAAGATCTGAACATTAAGGTTAAGAACATGAACCCAATTGTACTAAATCATAACAAAGAACCAGCGATTACAAACAAGCAGAACTCATGGCAACCATAATCAAAATTAAGAAGAAGTGAATTCTAATTTATTATTTTGCATACAACTAGTTCAAAATTTGAAATTTCAAAAACATACCTATTAGAAAAAATAACTGAAAATATCAAACAAAGCTCTTGAGGTGGGAGAAGAGATTCACTGATAATAATAGCAGCTCTACAGACCAGCCAAACAAATCCAAATCTCAACCGAAAATTGGACAAAAAACCCAAAATGCCAAAAGTTCGGAACTCAACCACAAACTTTAACTCGAAGTTTAATCCATAACTTTCTTTTAAAACCAGAAATCAAGAAAAAAGTCCAAGGCTAAAAGATATTTGTTCCAGTAGCCTTTTCGGTTTTTCTCTTTAAAAAAAATGAAATGAACTCCAACCAAAGATGAACTCAAAACATTTTTTCCGTTTATTCTTCTAAAAAAAAACTGACCAAAAGAAATGGCTTGAAGAAAATAATGACTTCAAACCTTAGAAACTTGACTCAAATTTTTCTGAAGATTTTTTCAATTTTTCCTTTAACCTAACAAAGAGACTTACCTTGTATATATAGCTTTCAAAAAATCTGCCCAAAATCCAAAATCCCTCAAGTTTTTTGAACAATTTTGGGACAAATGGAGGGCGTGGATTGATTCACATCTATCCACGACTCCCATTCATCCAACAATTATCCTTTTTGTACAAAAATCCGCAATTTTGAGGAAATATTCGTACTCCTCTCTGACAAATCCATTGGAAAACAGAGGTGACGTGGAGGGGAGGGGACCATGTGAGTGAACTCGCCTGAGTTCCAGGTGAGTTGAGGGTTGGCTCAACGAAGAAGAAGAACAGTGCAAGGGGTGGGGCGCCGCTTCTGGGGTTACTGGGTTTAGGGTTAGAAATGGGGAAACATTACAAGAAAAGTTATATACTAAAGGGCACCGAGCGGGTTAAATAAACGGGTTGGTCCAGTTTTTGTTGGGCTGAACCGGTGGAAATGGTCATTTGGGATGAAGGTATTCATTGTGTATAGGGGGAATTTTGGGCCGACTTGGGTAATTAGAGATGGTCCAAATTCAATTCTTTCCCAATTCTTCCTTTATTTCAAAATTCTTTTTCTTTTCTTTTCTTTTTTTTAATTAAAAATCCTAATGACTAAAAATCCTAAATTATCTAAAATGTGAAATTGAAGTAATTAACTAATTATAAAAATTATAAAAGCTAAGTAATCCTAAATTAAAAAAGAAAAATCAATAACCTAAAAAATAAAAGGAAAAAGTGTAAAAATGAAGCAATTTTTGTGATTTTCATTTTATAAAACAAATAATTACTGATTAGTCCTAAAAATATAAAAAATAAACCCTAAATGCAATGCATGATATTTTTGATATTTTTTCATGATTTAAATAAAAATTAAATATGCACAGAAATACAAATAATTAAGAATAATCTAGAAAATTCCTAAAAATGGCAAATAATCAACATAAAAAATCTACTTCCTTGGGATTCTGTAGGAGTATTTCATATATGGCAAAAATCACGTGCTCACAATAAGAACTCTCTAGCTTAGCATTGGAGTAGGCACTGGAAGAACCCTAGCAGCCTGAGTACCCATTGGAAGAACCCTGAATAGCTAGTGGGCGGTAAGAGCTCTCCAGCATAGCGATGAAATAGGGTCGGACCAGAGCACCCTGAGGAAGCGACAATGCTAGATATGTGGGCCTACTGGGCTGTCCCCTCATGAACTGACCTTTGCCCCCAGCCGGGGCACCTCTAAACTCTCCGGAATAACAAACTCTCTTGTCCTATTGTATCTACTCTTTACCCCTCTACTGTAACCATCAATCCTCCGAGTAATCTCTATTACTAGCTAGTAGGAAGTCCCCATCTCAACCTCCTGGGCTATAGTAGCATGAATACCTGAGTGCAACCCCGCAACAAACCTCCGCACTCGCTCCGCCTCAGTAGGAAGTATCATAAGTGCATGGCGAGACAACTCAGAGAATCTCGCCTCATAATCGGTCACAGACAGCTGACCCTGCTAGAGCTGCTTAAACTGAAATAGAAATTCTTCCCTCTGAGAGGGTAGAATATACCTGTCTAAGAATAGGCGTGTAAACTAGTCCTAAGTCATGGGAGGAGAACCTGCTGGCCTGTCGAGCAGATAAGACGCCACCACCTACCAGCTCTGCCCTCCAACTAGAAAGTAGTGAAATCCACCCCATGGGACTCCAATATCCTCATGTTGTGCAGTCTGTCCCTACACTGATCAATAAAGTCATGGGGATCCTCATATCTCTCACCCCTGAAGATAAGGGGTGTAGCCTAGTCTATCTATCCAATAGCTTATGCGGCTCACCGGCCGTAGGTGGTCTAGGCTCAGTGTCGCTGCTGCAACTGGCTGGACACCGCCCACGGGTAGTGCACCTGGGGTCTGATATACAACAATTGCATGTCCTGGATCCAGAGCAGTAGGGGTTTGTTCTTACCCTCCCGCCTGAGATGTGGGCACCGAGATGGTTGGCCCGCTCTACAAATAGAAAATACTTCAAAGAAACACAAATTCTCAATAACAGTCAAGTGTCTCATTTACAACTTTAAGTAAGTAAAATTTAACTTTTTACAAATGTTTAATCAAATTTCAATATGACTTAAGTAATTAAGTTATCAAGTAGGGGCAAACATTACAAGTATAGCATGATATGGGTCCTAGACTACCCGGACAATAGCATAATTAGTAGCTACGTACTGACTCTCATCACCTCGTACGTACGTAGCTCCCACAAATAGAAACACATTTTAGTTAATTCACCTATGGGGTTAATTCCCTCTTATAGGGTTAGAAAAGAGATTTACCTCGTCTCAAAGCTTACTTTCAGTCCAAGATTGTGCCCAAACCCTCAATTCGGTGCCAAACGACTCGAAATTAGTCAAATATTATATAAAATAATCAATACATGTTCAACTATTCGTATTCTAACTATCAAAGTGATTTTCCAAGCCTATTTAAATACAACAACAACAACCACCCAGGAAAATCCCACAAGTGGGGTCTGGGGAGGGTAGTATGTACGCAGACCTTACCCCTACCCCGAAGGCGTAGAGAGGCTGTTTTATAAAGACCCTCGGCTCAAGATAATAAGAAAAACAAAAGGAGATAAGATTAGTTTCAACATAGAGATCATAGGAAAAATAGGAACATAAAATGCAGAAGAAAAATACAAGGCAGAAATGATGGTTATTAAATAGATCTTGCACCGAAAAGAGAAAATATTAAGACACGACAATGCCCCTAGCTATTTTAGACTAAAACCTCACCAGACTAGGCTCACAACGGTACAAAGTAACGCAAGACTCAACTACCTCCTAGCCTACAACCGTAATACTCGACCTCCACAACTTTGTATCAAGTGTCATGTCCTCGGAAATCTGAAGTCTCGCCATATCCTGCCGGATCACTTCTCCCTAATATTTCTTAGGCCGCCCTCTACCTCTTCTCGTGCCCTCCACAACCAGCCGCTCACACCTCCTTACTGGAGCATCTGGGCTTCTCCTCATTACATGCCCGAACCATCTGAGCCGCGCTTCCCGCATCTTGTCATCAATGGGAGCCACGTGCACCTTCTCCCGAATATCATCATTTCTAATCTTGTCCATCCTACTGTGCCCACACATCCACCTCAACATCCCCATTTTTGCTACTTTCATCTTTTGGATATGTGAGATCTTAATAGGCCAACACTCAGCCCCATACATCATGGCCGGTCTAACCACCGCTTTATAGAACTTACCTTTGAGTATCGTTGGCACTCTCTTGTCACACAAAACACCGGATGCTAATCTCCACTTCATCCATCCTACCCCAATACGGTGTGCGACATCTTCATCGATCTCCCCTCCCCCATGGATAACCGAACCAAGGTACTTGAAGCTGCCTCTACTTGGAATAACCTGTGATTCAAGCCTCACATCCACGCCCACTTCCCCCGGCTCAGTGCTGAAAATACACTCCAAGTATTTCGTCTTCGTTCTGCTCAGCTTGAAACCTTTAGACTCAAGAGTCTGTCTCCAAACTTCCAGTCTCTCGTTAACACCGATTTGTGACTCATCGATCAGAACTATGCCATCGTCAAATAGTCCAAGCCTATTTAAATAATCCCTAAAATTCACCCCCAGGACTACGTGTTCGGATTTCGAAATTTTTTGAAGAAAGTTGTTACCCATAACCTCATGAACTCAAAAATATGATTTTCCTAAGTTCCATAACAAATTTCGTGGTTAAATTCCATTTTTATCAAAAATCTAGGTTTTCGTCTAAACCCTTGATTTCACCAATTTTTACATGTTAATCTACCCATAATCTATGTATTTAACTCATGTTGTGCAGAAATTACTTACATCAAAGTGCTAGGTGAAAATCCCCTTCCAAGAGCTCCAAAAATCGCCCAAAAATGAAAGAAAATGAGCTAAATGGCCTAAGTCGAATTTAATAGAGTTGTGTACAGGTCTCAGATGTCGTATTTGTGACACCTACTTCGCAAATGCGACAAATCCATCGCAAATGCGACAAATCCATCGCAAATGCGACAAATCCATCGCAAATGCGACAAATCCATCGCAAATGCGACAAATCCATCGCAAATGCGACAAATCCATCGCAAATGTGAACCTGGGTTTCTATTTCCAAGGTCGCAAATGTGACCAAGGAGTCGCAAATGCGGGCATTGTTGAGGTCACAAATGCGACCAATGTGTCGCAAATACCGACACTGCCCAGATCAGGCTTCTTCGCGATTACGAAGCCTTTCTCGCAAATGCGAACAAATTCTCGCATTTGCGAGACCTGCAACACCAACAATAAAACACCAGAAAACTGAAGTGTTTTCCCAATATTCCGAACATCCAAAACTCACCCGAGCCCTTGGGGCTCCACAACAAATGCCCACACAAGTCTAACAACATCATACGAACTTGCTCACGTGATCGAAACACTGAAATAACATCAAAACCACGAATCGGGTGCCAAAACACATGGATTAACTCATGAACTCAAAAACTTCTAAAAACACTTTCGCGCGTCCGATTCCTATCAAATCAACTCGGAATGACGCTAAATTTTGCGTACAAGTCTAAAATGACATTACAGAACTATTTTCGGTCTCGAAATCCCATTTGGACCTCGATATCACCAAAACTACTTGTAGACACCTGATTTTTGACCCTCCCCGAGAATTTTCACATTTTTAGCATGAATATGTGAAATTGGGCCTAATATAGCCATTTTGACTATTTTTACTTTATTTCGTTGCAAAAACAAAAATTACAAAAATATATGTATATAAATTTTAGTTTATGTATTTCTCATAAACTTGAAAAAATACAAAAATTGCACTTTATTTTTGTACTTTATATAATTTCGAAAAATACCAAAAAATATAGTTCTATTAATGTTTTGTAGTCATTTTAATTTTGAAAAATACAAAAAAAATATTATTTAATATTTTATCTTTATATTAAAAACAAAAATTACAAAATAGTTTTATTAATGTTTTGTAGCTATTTTAATCTCGAAAAAATATTAAGAA